CGGCAGACGAAAGCTCCCTTGAAGGCAGAGTCCCCAGCCACTTCGGGGAGAGGCATGGCTGCCTGTGTCCCTTTGCCTTTAGGCAGTCTTTTTCAGGCGATGGAAGCTCCCCAAATGCAGTCACCAGCCACTTCGATCGGCCGGTAGAAGCGGCCTCGGGGCGAGCACACACACACACACTCTCCTCGCCGTGAGGCCGCTTCTTTCGGCAGACGAAAGCTCCCTTGAAGGCAGAATCCCCAGCCACTTCGGGGCGAGGCGTGGCACACACACACTCCCCTCGCTGCAAGGCCACTTCTACCGGCCGATATAAGTAGCTGGTGACTGCATTTGGGGAGCTTCCATCGCCCGAAAAAGACTGCCTAAAGGCGAGGGGACACGGGCAGCCACGCCACGCCCTGAAGCAGCTGGGGACTCTGCCTTTGGGGAGCTTTCGTCGGCCGATAGAAGCGGCCTCACGGCGACGTACGTGCGTATGGGCCGCTCTAGGTGGGGGAGGAAATTAAGTCACCCCCCGAAAAGACGGCCTACCCGTTTTTTCAGGGGTCAAAAAAAAATAAGACCTGGCCTTATTTTGTGAGAAACATGGTAGGATTGGAAGAAATGTTGGAGGTCTTCTAGTTTAACCCCTGGTAGAAATCTTCAAACCATCTCAGGCAAATGATATTCCAACCTTTGCTTGAAATCTTCCAGTATGTAATATGGAGTATTTATAACCCAAGGAGGCAGATTGTTCCACTATTTGACAGCTCTTGTAATCAGGAAATTCCTCATATCTGGCTGTCTATAAAGCTTCCACCCATTGGTTTTTGTCCTCCCAGAATCACTGGACATCAGGCAGCATATACATGTGATATATAATCATGTTATGTTGGTCATACAGCCAGATGTTTAGACTGAATTTGGTATTTCCTTCCCAAGGACCTGGAATAGGCAGATATTGTTGTTTGATTATGTAGGCTGTTCCAGGTAAAGCTGCCTTTTACTGTAGACCAGGAATTGCCAAACTTTTGGACCTCAGGGACCACCAAACTCATAATTTAATATGAATTTTGACTGATGGTGGCTTGCTGACAGTGGGAGAGAGAGAGAGAGACCTGATCTAACCTTTGTCTCCCCCACCCCTCATACACACAGACATACAAACACACAGAGGCCGGGGTGGGATTCAAATTTTTTAACAACAGGTTCTTGGGTGTGGCCTAATTTGTAGGTGTGGCTTGGTGGTCATGTGACTGGCTGGGCATGGCTTGTATGTAATTATTATAAATATTTATGTAAATATTGAATTTTTTATTTAAAAAAATAGCAACTTTTACCCAAAATCAGGCAAAGCAGGCAGGCAGATTGAGTTGCTCACAGAATCAGATTCAGAGATCTATCTTTCTTCCATTGGCTACCTGAGTCTGTCACATAAAATTTGCTTGCAAGCAAACCCATAAAATTTGCTCGCAAGCAAACTCACAAAATTAACTCACAACACACTATGTATGTAAATATTGAACTTTTTTTTTAAAGAGCAACTTTTACCCAAAATCAGGCAAAGCAGGCAGGCAGATTGAGTTGCTCACAGAATCACAGATTCACTTAGAGATCTGTGTTTCTGCCATCAGCTGTCTGAGTCTGCAACTGAATAATAGAACCTTCAGTCCTAAGGGAGGTTCGGCTCTGCTTAAGCAGAGCCAAAGATCTAAAGATTATCTAGAAAGCAAGAAATCCAATCTCCCGGCACAGCAGAACAGCTGATGGTCAGGAAAAAAAAGGAAAAGTAGCAACTTAGCAGGCAAGTTTGCCAGGTAAGGAGTGGGCGGGGAGGGTTCCCGTGGGCCATGTGGGCGGTGCAGCCTTGTGTTCCCTGCAGCCTGGATTAATTGCTTTGGGGGTGCTCTGGGGGTGACATTTCTCTGTGGACCACCAAAATTTTCTCGCAGACCACCAGTGGGCTGCAGCCCATCAGTTGGTGACCACTGCTGTAGACTGATGGTAATTTTGTCAATGCCAATGGTGTTAACGCTCCAATTGTTTGGAGATTGCATCCAAGGTGCTTATTATTATTTGTACTACCGATGTCTCTATTTTCTTTTGCCACAGTTGTTTTATTTCTTTTTGCAGATCTTTGTATTTTGTAATTTTATCCAGTTGTCTATTCTGTTGTCACCATATACTGCCATGTTACTATTATTATTATTACCTTGGCTCTAAGGAGAATAACCCATAATATGTCAGTTATTTTAATCAATTTCCATAGGATTTAGCCCCCAAGTCTGTTTTGATCTGCACTTTTCTTCTGTGCCCCACCCCCAATGTCCCTCAAGCAGAGCTTCTGACAGACTGGATCTCTTTCTCATTTTACAAAAAGAGAATATTAAAATAGGAATTAAATAGTTCATTATTCTCCTTTTTATGTCCATCACCATCTTGCTATCTTCTCTGAACAACAGATTGATCATTTACTTGATTTTTCTCTTATTTCACACATAACTTCAAACCACTTTTTGTATATTCTTGGCATTCACAGCAAGCCTGAGTTTATTCTGAGCCTTAGTCTACCTGTTCCTTATACATTCTGGCTATTTCCTGAAATCTTGCTTACATGTTCCTCTTTTCACTATCACCGAACTCTATTTTTAACTCCAGAATCTTCTATTCCTCTATTCCTTCCTCAGGCCTTGATCATGGAAGTACGGGGAAAAAATATTACTTGTGCTCCAACCATTTTTGCTTTCTGCCTAACCCCCGATAGTCCCTTGATAATTCTTCCAGTTTGTTTCTGGCAGTGTCTTTGTTCCAATGTGAAATAGAAGAAAAGGATATGATCAATAGGATTGATTAATCAGGTTAGTGTCTCTCCATCACTCCTGTATATTCACACTTGGGAAACAGCGTATTTCCCTGGATATCAAGTCTGTAGACTGCAGACTCCAGTTCTCTCAGGTCACCCATCTTCATCTTTGGGACAATGGTTGGATGTCTCACTTCCATGGAAATTTAAGCTTCTCTCTTCCCTCTCCCTGGAATGCTGAGACAAAAGTCTTTTCCAGAAGTTAAAAAGTCTGTTTCTACAACCCATGAATACTTGCATCTTTAATTTCTTTCTAACTCATACCTTCCCATTGTCTCCCTTTATCTCAATGTCCCAAGCTGGGATATCCCAATTAGTCATCTGTTTGTCACGCTCACAGTCCCCCAAGCCAAGAGTTCAGCTCTTCCCTTTCTATCGTCTGATTATTTTTGTTCCAGCCAAAAACATTTTTCAAAAATTGCAAAGCAAGGGCTATTCCCATCCCATTCATTGAGTGGCATTGTGGGGGGTGGGGGGGTTGAAAACTGAAAAAAACTATGCAGTAGGTAGAAAGGATCCATTTTCTGAGCCTTCCAGCACTTCAACTCCATCACAGAAAAGGAGTCAATTAACCTCCACTGACTCTACAGATAAGCCCAAATAACATAGTTGATCAGGTCCACTTACTTTAGTCTAGAACAGATCCAGAAGCGTTTGAGGCAAACAGTTACCTCTCAGAAATATTCAACTAAAGCAGAGCATATATTTTTATTGTTTTGCTTGATAAACTTCATCATCCACCCAACAATATTGTAAACAATAAGATATATGTTTATTTCCAATTTTTAATATTAGATTATATGGTGAAGATCATCTGTTATTGATATGCTGTGCCCTTATACAAATCGATTTGTGTGTGAATGAATACATTTACACACATAATGTGCAGGTTTTTTCTTATTCATTTTGGTGTCTTTGATTGAAGGATTATATGCCCTCAAGTCATTTTCAATTCCGAGTGACCGCATAGATAGATTTTCTCCATGCCCGATATCTTTAAACAGCTATTTGGTTTTTTATATTTGTCATTAAATTCTGAACAGTCTGAAACATGTCCATAATTTTTCAAGGATATTTAACTGGATGTTCCTCATCCCTTGCCTGAAAACAATTTAAAATCTCTCTGATCTTTTTTTCATATCTAGTGCTAGCGCCCTGCTTTCATCACTGTAGTACAACTGGAACGGTCTGTCTATTTTGCACTAAAATCTGTTCTGGCACTTTTTCATCTGAACAGTTGAAATTCCTCAATGTTGCCTGCCTATCAGCCCCCAAGTAGAGAAAAAGGAGAAGAGAAAAACCTTTCTTAAAATGCTGCTTTGAATGTTTGAGGCTTCTAACATGTTTTTTTTTTTTACCTTTCAGGACTACCCTAATCTTCTGCATTCAGTGGCTAATCATACAGATAAAATGTTCATCAGAAACCAGCTAACTCTAACAAGCATCCTCAAACAAGGCTCTTCTATTCCCCCAAAAGGCATAAACAACAAACTGTGCCAGTTTATAATCTCTCCCACTTTCTCAGAATATTTGCCTTCTGCCCACAACCTTCATTTTCTGATGGATGCACTGCTCCCTTAATATATGTGTTATGGGCACACATCTCTGCCTTCTCAGATTTCCTAAATCAGGTGCCACATGGCCTGGAATACTGTAATATGGAATACCCAGCATATATATATATGTCTGAATTTAGTATGTTGAGCTGCTGGGTATTCCATATATATATATATATAAAGCTTCTATTCATTAGAGTCATCCATGCCAGTTCTTGCCATACTCTTGATTTTATATGGTTGAAGTCAGATGAAAGGCTTAATTATGTGAGAAGTCTGTTTGTTGTCTGTTTAGTGCACAAAGTAGCAAAAATGAAAAGCAGAAAGAGGGCCTCTTTCTGAAGAGTGAGTGAAATTACAGCCTTGCTGTAGCAATCCCAGTGACAACTTCTTTAAACCAATTATTTCGACTAAGACCAAGAATGCAGCACGCACGACACACCCCAACTCTACAAGCTGTGTGTGAATCTGCCACCGGCCAAAAGTGTCTTCCCCCCGCCCGCCCAAACCAAAGGGTTTGAGACCCGTTGCCAGCAACCGGAGCGCGGCTTTCCCTATAAATTCCCCATCCGTGCCCGCCTTCGCCCAGTGCGAAGACTTACCTTGCAGCAAGAAATGGAGGCTTTGGGGGCAGTCAGAGAGATTCGAACAGCGAAGCCACCGCACTCACGCCTCGAATGCAAGCAGGGACGTCTTGAGGTTGCACATGCCCGGGAGGGGGGGGAAAGGGGGAAGGGGGCTCTGACTCGCCTTGAGGCGAAGATGTCGGCTATAGGTCTGTGTGGCGTGTGGTTTTATTTTGTTTTGGTTTTGAAAAAGAACGCTACCTGTCCGTCACGCCCCCCCGGCTAGTGGAGCAGCCGCTACCTCGCCGACTCGTTCGCTCTCGCGCTGTGGCTGTGGCTGCTTGAGTCTCTGGCGGCGCGCGTGCGCGTCTCCGCGTTTGCCGCGAGGAGGAATTCCAGCTAGTGACGTCAATCGGAGGGGGGCGAGGGAAAGCGCGCGTCCTCGGGGCGGCCGTCGACTTCGCTTCCCCTACTCTTTGGAAGATGTCGCCCGTCGGCGTGAGCGTCTTGCGTTCCGTCCTCGGCTGCATGAAGGAGGCGCGTAGGCTTCGTGGCTGGAAACGGCGGCAGAGAGGATGAACATAGGTGAAGAGAGGCGCGCGACTGCACGTACGGGAAGAAGAAGGAGGGAAAAAAAAAAGCCGGGAATTCCGAGCCGCAGAGAGTAACGGCTTTTTTTCCCCCACCCGGTCTCCGGAGAGACCCTGAAAGGAAGGACTCGTCTCCCAGCGCCGGGGCCCGAGTTTTTTAAATCTCTGCTCGTCAGCGGTGCGGCGAAGGCCAGCGACCAAGGACCTTTAGTTGCAGATTTCGGGGCCACGTGGCCCGGGAGCTTTCAAGGAGCCGCTGGGAGCCTGGCTGTTGATGACGGCCGGATAAATGGGCTCCGGGCGGATACAATAAGACTCAGCTTTGTAGCTGGAAGATTTATGCCTCCATTTTTGGTGACAATAACTGCCGTGTAAAAGAAACAAAGAGTTTGTTTCCAAATAAATGTGTACGGTGTCAGGGGAAGCAGAAACAACAGTTTAAGAGTGTAATTTTCTCGCTGTGTTGCCCTTCTTAAGAAGAAGGCAATGTAGGAGTGCAGAAACAGGTGTAAAGCTCGGAGGCGGACGGAGAGGAATGGAGGCAGAAGGGAATGAGGGCTTATAAGAGGCACAATGCAACAGCCATACTAAAAAGAAATCTGCTGTCTCCCATGTCAAAACAATCTAAGCTTTTTAAAGCTGCAGAAAGAGAGTGACTCCAATAATTATTTCCCCCATTGAGCCTAACTTTATAACTACAGTTCATATTGCATACATAAAATGTTTGTTACACCTTAAAAGACGAATTTAATTTGGAGCTGACGTCATTTTTTTACAAGGAAAAATGTGAATGGACTAAAAACATTTAGTCTGTAAAGTTTCCCAATAGATTATCCTGCAGTAAGCAACAGAATCAAATCTGTTTAAAAGGAAAAAGGTCATCCAGTTCCAGGCTATAATTTAAGAAGACAAGTGAGGGGTGAGTAAGAGTCTGTTTCACACTTTGGGTAGGAATCATGTTCGCAAAAGATATACAGATGGTTCCCATATTAAACACAAAAAAAGTGTGAAGGACAAGTGTTCCTCAACACTTCAAAATGCAGGGCATCCTAGTGCATTTTGAAGTGTGTGTGTGTAAGAATATCTACTTTTCACCTATCCTACAGAAAACACTAAATAGCTTTGCAAGAAACAGAATCCAAAGCATGCTGAACTGAACATTGTGTGGGCAACCCTTCAGTTATTCCTTGTGAGAAAGACAAATCTAGACATCATATTAAAATGGAAAGCATTCATACTGACAATAATGACACTATTATAGCAATCATCTTCCCAGTTTTAATATGGTGGTGAAAGCCAGACATCAGAAAAGCTGAATGAAGAAAAATGCTTTTGAATTGGGGTCCAGGCTGGAAAAAAAAATGGAGAATATTTTGGGCTACAAGAACAACAAAATTATCTAAACCGAGTTTATAAGATAATTCATCTCGGTTCCTAAAATTCGTGTGCTTTTTGATGTTCAAACACGGAATTTAAGGTGTTATACAGAATCTTTCATGATTCTGGAACAAGCAGAGTGATTTTTATACATGCATTTCTAAATAAATTTGCAGATACCTACCTCATTAAAACATTCATTCTGAAAAAAGAAGACCCCAGTACTATAGGAGACTTAGCAAGAAACATGATTTTCTAAGAACAAGAGGAATGTCTGCATGATAGTGTTACTGCAATGGCAAGCATTTTAATAAATACTTGTTTTCAAATTTATTTTTAAAATATCTGACGCCCATCATGTTTTATTCCATTGAAAGTTTCTACAATATAACACTTATTTTTAGAAAACATTTTTAGTTATTTGGGTTCAGCTGCTAACCTGCAGGAATCCTTTCTTGAGTTCAGTCAGGGGAAAAATGTACAATACAGCCCATGATGAAACCATGGCCCACACTACTTTTATTTTTATTTGTAATCATTTTTAAAAGTGTTATCAGAATGCTAAAGTTATTCTGTTATAACAGATAATATTCCATCTAGGCATATTTTCTGAGTGCTAATTATGCTAAAGGCAAGTCATTTTGGGGCATCAGTTGAGACAAACTTGATTTCATTGAAGGGCACATTTTTTACCTGGAGGGGCATGGCCAGAGGGTGTGGCCAGCTTGACATCACTCATGTTGGGGGTGCCTGAGTAGTTTGGAATACTACCTCTGACTGGCCCCACCCTCATCTCTTCTCTGCCTCTCAAGTCCCAGCTGATCAGCTGGGTCTTCTTTTGTTGCCCTGCACAGGAGAACAGAGCTGGAAAGCAGGTTATTGGGGTGGGGAGGGAGGATTTTGCAGTAATCTTCCCCCTGGAGTGGGGAGGGAATGGGGTTTTTTCAGTATTCTTCCTCTGCCACGCCCACCAAGCCATGCCCACCAAGCCAAGCCACGCCCACAGAACCGGTAGTAAAAATATTTGAATTCCACCACTGGTTCCTGAGCTCCATTTTTGGCTGTGATGGCCCTCTCAAGCTCCATTTTTACTGGCAGAGGGTGCAGGATGCTGTCACAGCCGAAAATGGAGCTCAGGAGCCCATTTTCTCTGGCAAAGGTACCACAGGCTGGTCCTTTGCTGTTTACAGGGCAGCCCCACAGACAGATCTAAGCACCCTGTGGGCTAGATCCAGCCTCCAGGCCTTGAGTTTTGACACCCCTGAGTTAAGGAATAAAAATGCATTTGTATAATACAACAGAAACTGCATTTTTTCTGTTTTACCTTAAATCCTTATAAGGGTTTATTTTATCAAATGTCAGCAGCTTCATTTTAAGCCCTTATATGAGTGATTATTTGCATAACTTTAGGTTTGAAATTGCTACAAAAGGCAAATTTTATATGCTATAAAAGGCAAAAAAAAACTTACAAAGCATCTTGTAAGTAGGGAATGGGGGGGACGGGACTTCCCAGTAACAGTTTACATGGAGGTTTGTGCAAGCATTAAAAGATCCTTATTTCTAAAAGAAAAAAAGGAGTTAAATAAACAGTGTTTTTATGAGAATAAGGTCTTCTGCAAACTTCCAGATACATTTCAAAAACCATATCTGGAATTCAGGAGTTGAAATCTGGAGTTCCTAAGGCTGTCAAAGCAAAAAGGCAAATTATTTAAACTATACGCAAGGACAAAAACTTGCAGAATGAAATGCCAGACCTGGTTCACAAATAATGTCAGGCAAGACATTTTCAAACAGTTGTTTCATAGACTAGATTGTGGCCTGACCAAATAAATCATTAAATAATAATGGGTTTGCACATCACACTAATGAACAAATCACCTTTTTGACTGACATCATTTATAAACTAGGCTAGTGACCGGCAGTTAATATCATTTCTCAATTTCTGCATGATAAATCTAGTAAAAAAGCAGACTAACACATTAAAAGGCACATATGTTCATAAAATGCAGTTTGTTTCATCCAAGTTTAATCTATAGCTCATTTTTATAAAAAAAAATCTATTGGTCTAGAAAGATGGGTGAAGATAATGTTTATAGTTTTAATAGATATATGCATAATGCTGTTCTTATTGATGTTTGTTAATTGAGAGCCACCCAGAGTTTGATACAAGATGGGAGTCTATATAAATTTTTAAATAAATAAAATTAAATGCATAAATTCAAATAATTTTGATGGAGAGCACCTACTAAATTTATCAAATTCTCTATAAAATTTTAAGCATTTAAAACTCTAGTTTTAAAACACTTTAAATGGTTATATGTGTGGAAGAACAAGGCAGATTATAATCTAATAATGAGTTAAAAACAAACACTGGTTTTTATATAAACCTTTGAAATATTTTAATTATATTTGTACATAACAGATGAGCAAAAGTTACTAGTGCTTAAAGTTTAGAACATGTATGTCCAGGAAAGTATTCATAAAAAATATGTTTATGTTACATAACATATTGCAGCATATATACTTCTGAGTTAGCGCACTTAATGTCCTCTTGGTACCAGAAAAGGCAAGCCAGAATTTTCTTATCACTGTGATATGGTTCATAAATTTGGTGCATGAACATACATAGCAGCCTTTCGTTGATATCATCAATGATCTACTTGCTGATGATAAAGTCATATGTGTACTTCAAAATCTAGCAAAACCAAGGAGGCTCCACAGTCCATTCTGTATTGAAAGTGCTTCATAATTTACCAAAGCTGAGAAGCCGATAGAGCTGTCAACCAGCTGCGTAGCTGCTAAGGAATGAGTAGAACATAGGAAGCTTCAAGCGCTGTTGGTCCTTGCGACACCAAGAGATCACCATTCCTTCATTATTTGCAGTGTACAAATGATGGCCATCACATGAAAAGGTAAGGCTATAAAGTTTTCAAAAAGACACAAATAAAAACAAGTCTGTCAGATAGCCTACGTCCTAGGGTATATATCATTAAAGGGGGAGAGGAAGAGAAAGAAAAGTATATAGCCTGTAAATTGGCTAAAATCTCACTAAGTCTAGCCCGTCCTACTGTGGTTTCCTTTCGTCAAAGAATTGTGACTGTTACGATCCAGAAGAAGAGCCTTCTCTGCCACCCTTTGGAACATCCTGCCCTCCAGGGTAAGATCTGCCTCAAACCTCCATTGTATAAGAGCCTGAAGACCTGGCTCTGCAAGTTGGCCTGGGGACTCAATGGGCAAGTTCAATTCTGAGGTAGCTGTTAGACTGACAGCAGAACGCACCTCTCAGTTCCCCACACTCCCCACTCATCCATTTTTTTTAATTAATCCTATTGATGTATTTTTGTTTTTTTCTTTGTTTTCCTTTCCCTTGGTTTTTTATT